CCGTAATAGTTTTATATGAAAGGTACTATGCTGTGAAGCGCGGGGACCTGTTCAGTGTTGCGTCCTTTCAGGAGTATTACGGTTATATACGGAATTGTTTCTCTAGATGAGCATGCTTGTCTTTGAAGTGGCATTATGTGAAGGGCCTGGATTTATGTTTAATGGCCTAATTATATGAAGTACGGGATTGTACAACCTTTAAGAAATGTCGGCAACACCATTATTTCCATAATCCTATGGTGCCAGAAGTACTATGATGTAAATCGTAATTCTCTGTTTGAAATATTGATATTTCAAGCGTGTCATTATATGGGAAGCACTATTCCGTCGCGTGTATGGATATTGAAGCAGGATTCACGCGTGTACAGTACGGATGTGTATGGATCCTAAATGGTGATGATTACAGAAGTTGTCGTAGTGCTGTTATATGAATGTACTAATGGTTGAGCTGTGGTAATATCTGTTATGCCCTGGGGTGTGAATAGCATGCTTATGTAGAGTGTATGCATAATCTGGAACCGTATTTTGTGAATGTATTGATATGTGTGTAGTAGTGTTCTTTAAGAAGCACAATTGTTTGCAGATTATGGATGTACTTGAAGCAGGACTATCTGAAGAGTCTGAACTTCAAGGCCCAGGATTTCGGCTTGTATTATACGAAGAACAGAACTGTCTCGAACTTGTAGCAGTCCTTGAAGTATTATTATATTAGGAGTAGTGTACTGCATGAAGCTCCATGACTTTAACAGCACCGCTCTACGATGTCTAGGGATGTCCTTAAATTACGCTTGGGTGAGAATAACTTTTTAACTTCAAATGTTGATATTCCCGGAGTACTGTTATGTGAATAATGCATCTGCGTGTGAAGCAGTGATATAGCAGGAATAGCATTGTCGGGATGAGTACTACCATGCCCGGAGTAGTATGATATAAATAGTACTAACATACTGGAGGTACCATAATATCTACAATTGTCTAGGTCTGAAAAATACTATTATATGGATCATACCATTAGATGGAGTTCACGGATATACGTGCTATAGTATTATACAAGGAACACAAGTGTGTAAAATGCTAGGACCTATCGCAGGTGTCCATGGTTGTGAAGTGTGGAACTGTACCCGCAGTATTATTATAGAGCGTTCAGGGATTATACAGGTACTGTACGGACGACTAAACCGTTTGAACCTTGGCAACCATCTAGAAGACATTTATTTGAGGAGCACCAATATAATTGTGATGATTCAATGTCGAAGGCGTGAGTATATGGAAAGTGCCATTCTGTGAAGTCCACCAACATTTTGAATGCAGTACTATGTGAAATGTAGGGATATCCTGGGGGACTGTTATATGAAAAGTCTCCTTGTGGCTACAATGCCCTTATTTGAAGAACACATCTGTGTAAAGGGTAAGAATATCCTCCAGTGTTACTGTAGATGAGGCGTATCCAAGTGTCCCTAATACTTATATGTAGAGAGTAGTAACTCCCTTATTGTATTGGTATTTGAGGAATGGAGGCATGCTCTGGATACCATTATTTATAAAGTCCTAGTATCAGTTTCTAACCCTGGTAGAGTGCGCAGAAGTACATATAGTACTATTATGTGAAGAGTATTGTCGTTCATGTAATGGGTTATGTTAAAGATTCCGGGTTTATGCTTTCATTATATGAATAGCAGTGTCCTGTGGAGTCAATGAATATTGCAGTATAAGTATTATTTAGGGAATACTAACGTCTCTGTATCTTCAATGGTGAGGAGTCTGAATGTCCGCATAGTACTGTTCTATGAAGGTACTAGTAATCGAGTTATATGGATGACCTGGACTGCTACTATACCAACAAGAGCATGATTTGTGGAATGTTTTGCCCTTATAAGTAAGATTAACCTTGGCGTAGGGTTCTTTAGAAGCGTAGTGATGTGAAGAGAGTACAGTTCTATTTACAGCGCTGTCTTGTGAATAATACTCCTATTTGAAGAGGATATTTGTTGAAGGGAGTATTGATCACTTGGAGTACTGTTATGGGGACACTACAGATGTATGAATAGTACTCATATCTAAAGATGCCTGATATGGCTGGTACGACGACATTTGATGAGTGCCGAAGTTAAGCCGGTATTATTGAGTAAAGTAAGGAGGAGTGTAGAATTGATAACTTAGTTTTGTGCCGTATGAGGAGGTGCCACCGTTACGCAACGTGTGGAAGTTGCCATAGTACCTCCGTATAGAGGGTACCTTTGTGTAGAACACATGGATGTGTGAATTGCACGATTACTTGAAGAACACTGATTTTATGTACAGAATAGTTTGTCCTGATGAGTACAACTGTCCTTGGAATAGCATTATTTGAAGGGTCTTCATGTTGGTTTAATGGCTGGATGATATGACTTGGGCGATTTTGCAGATCACACAGTTGGCCTCCAATCATTTTGTCTAAGCAGTAAAGCTATGCAAGGGGTACTATAATGTTAACCGTATTATTGTGTCAAGAATACTGATTTTCCAGGTGTGTCATTATTCGTAGGGTAATATTCTATGAACTGCATGCATATTCTTCAAGGGCAGATGAGAAGGAAGTATACATGTGTCCCCGTTCCCCATGATGAAGAATGCGAAGATTCTCGTAGTATTGTTATATCAATGTATTAATGGTTGATCTATACTGATATCTGCAAAGTACTGTCTATTTAGGGGCATAATTGTATAAAACGTACAGATGATCAGCAGAACTGTTCTGTGAGTGTATTCATATCTCCCTAGTGTGTTGTCTTGAAATGCACAAATGTTCTGAGAGTGTGCATATGCCAACAGTACGATTATTGAGAAGGTTGAAACTTCATGGCTTACCGTTTAGGCTTCTATTATAGGGAAAGAACCACATTCCGAAATCCATACCACTCCCTGGAGTGTTATTATATTAACAGCCGTATAATGTGTAAACCCCTATTATTGGGAGGGTACCTTTGCAGGAAGTGTACACAGGCGTGTGAAGTAGTATTGTGTAAAAATTACTTATTGCCTTCCAGTTCTGATATTCCCAGAGTACTATTATAGGAATAGTGCAGATGTGTACCAAGTATTGATATATTAGGAATAGCATTGTGAGGTGAGTAATACTGTACAAGGAGTACTATGATTTAAAGTATATGGACATGCATGCCGTATTGTTATCCTTATCCGTCGTTCATCCCTACAATGATATTGTATGAATAAGACACTTGTATCAAGTAGAGAGATATACATAGTGTACCATTTATATATAAGGCATAGCATGATATGGACTGTATATGTGTTTAAAATGTCAATACAAATAAAGAGTACAGATGTATAACGAATACTACTATATTGTTTTAGACGTTATACCGTTATTGTATAGGGGGGAGATTTTTTGGAACCAAGAAAGCGTCTGTAACACACTGATTTGGAGAAAATTGCTGTGCCTCGGTTGCTATAATGTATAGAACGCCAGGGATATGAGGAGTCACATTCTGTGAAGTGCAGTGAGATTCAAGATACCGTATAGTATGAAACATACCGATATTCTCAATGACCCTTCTTCTGGGGATAAGAATTTTCCTGCAATATGCCAATTTGGAATGCAGAAGGGTGTGAATTGCAGGCTAGATTTTCCCACATTTTGTTTGTATTCTTTGGAGAACACCACTGTTTGAGAAATATAAACCTCTATGAGAAAATGTTATGTGAAGGATTGGAGCCTACATTCTAAGGAACACATGAGGCCGGTAAATGGATACGGTGCCAGGAATATACTTGTGTGGAATGTACTATTGCCAGAGTAATACCATGGCAGTAAGAGTACTTGCATATCCACAATAGGGGCCATCTAGGGGAATTGTTCTTTGTAATATACCGTGCCGCGGGGGTGCTCTAATGTGAAGCCTTTATAACATAGCGTTTTAAATACGACTAATTGAGGAATAATCATTTATGTGTATTATCATTTAGAGAGTGTAGAACCCACGCGACTGCAGGTGTGTGCAATGTACGGAGAACATAGATGCCTATTGTATGAACCATGCGTCTATACCTCCAGTATTATTTTTTGTACTGTATACATGTCTCCTGAATATTATTCTGCACCAGGGTCATATTTTACAGTTTTTTTATTTGGAGACTATTATTGGCTGAAGATAACACATCTCGATGGGGAACCATGATATCAGGAAAATAATCGTGCTGGTTCCATGACTATGACTGGAATACATTTATATGGAGAAGTTACGCCAACGGGTGTTATTATTTGAAGAATAGTATAAAGCGGAGGATATACACTTCCTTGGAAGACTAATATATAAGGAATACATTTTTCGCGACCATTATTAAGTATGTGAGAAGGAGACATTTCTCTAGAGTATCACTGCATAAACAGTAGGAGAATCCCGAGAGTCCCTAGTATGGAGTCGCCAAGATTTAAACCAGGAGGCACCGTAATTTAAAAAGAGATATTTAGTAAGAGATAATAGAGTGGATTCAGAGGTATTCTTGGAGGCGTTCCAATCACTAAGCGTTACACATATATAGAAAATACGAGATGCATACCGTATATTTGTATTAACTGTAAGAATCGGCCTTACAACAGCTGTTTAGAGGATAAGCTTCTGTCAAGAGTAATATTCTATGTAGAACAGTGCTGTGTGAGGAGGAAAATTGTTTAAGATAGTAAAGATGTTTAGAGGGTCGAATTCTTTGAGGAGGACGGCAGTTGTAAAGATCATACCATTTCACCAATACACTGGCTTGTAAAATAATTCCATTCCAGGAATACCCATATACCAATCCTAAGGCTATTCATGCTGTATAAGAAACTGAGGTATACTATCACTAAAAAGAGTTTCAACATACCGAGGGGGCTTATATATAGGAAGAACTTCTTAGAGGCAAAGTAGCCTTGTAATTACAATAATATGTCGTGAACTGTGAATATTCCTTCGCAATATTATTGTAATATAGCTTCAATAGTTATCCGGATACTATTAAGAAAAGATGATTACGGAAGATTTGCAAACCTGCCTTAATCTGTAGTATTTTTCTCTTAAGAGGACTCCAGATCGATGCCGTACTATTAAAATATAACAATTATGTAAAATGAAAGATTAAATTTGTTATACCCTAAGGAGGAATAGGAAATTATAGAAGGAATAGAACTATATAGAACAAGCTTTTTGTTGTGGAGAGTTAGGAATAATAATAAGATGCAGCGCGCCAAGGGGATAAAATGAGCATAAGAATAAGAATACACATAAGATATTAAAGAGTCATTAAACTAAATAGGGGGGAAGTAACCATATAGAAGCAGATGACTATAATAGAATGTATATACCAATAAAAGTGACATATTTGAGAGAATTATCTACTTCAAAAGACGGAGAGAGATATTTATAAGACCATATAATACACCAAACCCTAGTGGAGATATACACATGACGATCAAAGTGCAAATGCCTAAAAGAAAAGGTACATAATTAATACATAAAGAAGAAACAACAAGAAAGGAGAGGATACACGGAAAGATGCTCAGGGGATGAAGATTATACACTACACCCAAAGGATAGAGCCCAGAAACACAGTAGGGGTGACAAATAAGGAATAATGTGAGCAGCAGATCTTTCCCTCTGACAAGATAGATATATGAAATCGAGGGTTTCATGTTTTCTAACATATAAACAAAG